TTGATCACACATTATTCTCCTCACAAGAACCAGAAACATCTTTGCGAATATCCAATGTCGATTTAGTTTCCATCTCGGGGGAAGCCGGCTTAACTAACATACCCCCGGACTCGAAACCATTAATTGTATTTCCCTTAGCCGATACTCGAGCTTCGAGCTCATCGGAAACGGCATTAACGTAGTTACTCGTAGTATCATTTGCTTTAGAGGATGGAGGATTTTGTTCAACTGTGAGCCTAGTTTTGACATCGGAAGCAGCATCTATGAATTCCATATCACACTCTTCATGGGTTCGAGTATTTTCCTCGATAGCAGAGTATGATGTTTTATTTCCCTTGTCTACTGCATCATAATCCGTAGAGGTAATGAGATTTTCACCGTCTGAAACGGATTCGTTTGCCTTATCCTCTGACCGTGAATCAGTCTCATCATCAAGTCTTGCATTTTTCTGCACCTCATGTGCATCATCGCTTGAACTAGGGTTAGCATCATATTTACCATCTGGCCTAGATACATTCCTCGTGTCCCCAGTAGATCAGTCATTAGAGTCCGGGAATGCATCTGACGAACCACTGGTTCCACAAGTATCATTTACAGAAACATTCGGACCTTGGGAATCTGAATCTGTAAGTCTAGTATCACCATTTACCCGACCAGAATGATGCAAATCACCATCATCACACTCTTCTGTATCATTACCAGATGATGAACCGGGTTTAGATCCATTAGCCACCTCGGATGTGATTTGCTTGTTAGATCTTGGTCCAGTTTGCTTAGGGTCAACCGTCATGTTTTCTTGCTTCAGCAGAAGCTTCTGCAGCATATCTACACCGGGGAAGACCAACATATTCATGGACCTCATTTCTTCCTTAACTGATACCGCTAGAGCAGTGAAACCAAAAACCGCAGTCCATGTAGGCGTAACTTCAGCAATTGCAGGGATGACTAGTTTGTGAATCTTGAGAGAATGGAGTGCCTTCAGATAAACAAAAGAACTAAATCAATGATGAAAAGAACATAAGGATAACAAGAAACACACACACACCAACACACGAACAGATATAACCCCTCCTCACAGCTTACCGATTCAATTGCACAGAAAAGCCGTCGGAACATTCCCCGATGCCTGTATATGTGGCGTGTGCCAATGAATGGCATCTCCGCTAGTTCAATTCCATGGAACCTACGTATGACAATAACATATCAAATTGGTAAGCATACATGTTATCCGACATTATTATCAATACAACCAAAGATAAATAACTGCAAGAGGGGGTAAAAGTGCAGCAAACAGATGCCAAAACGTACCTGATTGATATTGCAGAAATTATTTCATCTCCTCTCCAAAATAGCAGTGTAAAAGCCACTATAATTCAGCCGGTTGAAGTTTGATCTTTAAAAAAGTAACAAATTGCAACCAATTAGATACTTGACGTTCAACAAAAGTATAATCCAGGAAAGGAATAAACTATGGAATAATGCTCAAGATTGTCAAGCAGAAAATGAGAACGGATGAAAACATTCGCCCAAATCATAACAGAGCAAGAGCTTAATGTAAGTTTAAATTATAACAAAAGTCCATTTCACAAATTAGAACGAGACTAACAATTAACATCAAGAAACAAAGAAAAAGTGTGATCTGCTAGACAAAAATCCATCACAAATTAGAAAGAGAACAATAACAAAGTGTGATCTGCTAGACAAGCATTGCAGTGGATAAACTAACAAGACCAGCATCCTTTAAAGTTAACAGCAACCAAAATGCATACCCACAATTATAAAGTACATTATTTACTACGTTGATCCCACTCATCCTGTCAACAATGGGCAAAAAGCATTCATCCATCACAGTCAGAGCAACAGCTAGTTTAGAATTGCATTCCACCCTTCGTGGAAACCCTCTGGCAAATACATCTGAATCTGCATCTATTCTTCGAATAAGAGACCATGAGAACCCTCCTTCAAGTTCATGTTTGGCCCCTAGATACTTCTGTAAATGCTCAAAGAGCTGTAGAAACAACAACAAAAATAATCTCAATGTGCCTTTACATGTTTAACATGCCATGGTTAAATAGTGAATACCACATACAAATAAAATTTCATTGTCAATAGGATTCATAGTAACATTTTAGTTACACAACTATAGCCACAATTTGATGTAAAATAGGTTTACCTCTCTACATGTTTGCCCACAAAAAGGAAGAACTAAGCTGTTGGAATCAATATGAATCTCAACTGTCACTTTGATGCATGATTTGTGGTCTGGAAAAGTGGAAAGGATCAGAATATTTCTGAAAAGAATCAAAAGAGAGAACTACACAACTTCAAAGTTCAAAGAATTAAGAACACCAAAAAGAAGAGAATGAATACATCTTTTCTCGCACAGGCTACAAGTGAGGAGGACACAATCAGCTATATCATCCTCTTCAGAAATGTTGCTGCCATTACCACAAAATTTGCATATACAATTTGGACAGTGCCAATCACCATCTGGTAGAAACTGTAAAAGTGTATATAAAAGGCTGAGTCAAGCCTCTAAGAAGCAATGTTAACAATTCATAAAAATATATATTTTAGGATAGTAACTGCTGTAACCAGAAAACTTTTTCGCTTCATCTTTTGGAAGGAAATTAAAAGCCAATGGTTTCAGGTCATCAAAACTTGAGATAGAAAGCAATTAGCAATTAATATATCTAAGTAATAGTTAAAAGTTTCTTGATGGAAGCCGCATTAAGCCACTAAAAAACATTTCTAACATTAAAATCCAAAACATTGGTGATATCAACTCAGGGAGCAGGTCCTAAGAAAAGTCAACTAGGAGAATACCTTCAGGAAAAGGGATGTATTCTAAAAGTTGGAAAGGAAAGTAGCAAAAGCCTTCACTTGTCACGTAATACATGCCTCACTGCTACTCAAAGGACTCTTCAAAATTGCCCTAAAATACAGTTTGGCTTCAAACAAATTTAGGGATCCCTATCAATAAATCAATAGTTTAGGCCTTTAAAAGAACATAACCATCCGCTTAAAGGAAGAAATTGTACTGCCTAACAACATATTTTGATCAAACTCTGGTCATTAACACCATTCAAATTAACAAAACCAATATCTCTCAGGAGGAAGCACGAAGAGAGTTGGAGTCTGGACAGGGACGGGGAGAGAAATAAATAAATAATACATTTAAACTTGAGAACCCAAGATCCATGAATTGTAGTAGTTTCCCCTCGAGTAAACACTAAGAAAACTCCAAACCTGCATAACCTCAGTAACTGACCCAGAGGTCTACAAGGAAAACTTATAGGAAAAGAGAGTAAACAAGAGAGAATCGGCCATTTATAAATGTAAAATGCCATGAAGATGCAAAAATTATGCAGAAGTACCTCTATATTTAGGCAACTCTGATGAAATGTTGAGGGGCAACTGTCACAACAAATCAGATCCCCTCCATCTCCACAAATGCCACAAGTATCATCATTGGGATCATCACCCTTTACATCTACAGAATGAAAACCAATCTGCTCAGACTTCACTTGTCTGTTCCATGCATCTATTTGGCACTGTAGGAGAGAAACACCAGAGTCCAAATATATATTTTGAAATGGTTGGCGCAATTTGCTTCCAGCATGAATCTCAAATTTTGAAACTGTAAGAATTTTACTGCAACAGCTGCAGTGGATCCCATCCCTTGTGATCCAGCCCTCTAGCATCACTTTTGTTCGTCTACAGTTAATATACTCCACCTTTTGGCTCAACTGCACAGCCTCAGAATCAATCAGCCAAGCAAGTAGTGTTCTTTTCCCATAATATGGAACAAAGTCATCACCCTCTGAACTTGAGCCCACATTAGAACCACGAACCAACAAGGTGCATCTGCCAAGTTTTCTATTTTTTCTTCCATGAACACAATGAGAATTGGATTTAGAGGATAGTTTTTCATAGCTATCACGCGCATGAAGAAAACATTGACTTGCCTCATTGTCATTCATCCTACGCTTCTTTGGCTTGCCCTTCATGAATGAACTTGGTTTCTCTTCATGACTAAAGCTATCCATACTCTCATCTTCATGCCTGGTACTCAAATATTTCCTAGCAACAGGTTCTTGAGCATCCTCACTGCCACTTTCTTCTTTTCGCTTATTTTTCATCTCCCTCTTCATCTTCTTTCCTGTTTTCCTTGTTAATTGGCTGAGTATTTCATCTGATAATGGAGTAAATGCAGGACAATTCCCAAAGTGATTCCTGTCATTGTCCTCATCTTGCTGCTTTAGAAGGGCATCATATGCCTTGATGATGGACCAGTATGCAGTTCCACCAGGGTTGATGTAGACTGCATCCAAGTAATCCCTGTTCCTTCTTGGTCTATAATCTATTGTCCAGCCTGCTTCCTGAAGCATCCCCCTTATCCTTTCACGTAATTTCTGTTTCTCTGTTCCACATCCACGCCTAATGTTTCCTTCTTTGATTCTGGTAGGCTGAAGCTGTTCAATTTGAGCTTTCGCCTCTTTGCTACTTACCTTCCTTTTTAAGTTAGAAGTTCCTTTACCCTTTGGTTGTAGCTTCAGAGATGTATCATTGTCCTCTAAATCAGAGTCGGAGACCATATTCTTCTTAGTTGTCGGTGTTAACAAATTTTTTTTAATTTTCTCTTTTCTACCAAATGAAACAGGCTTCTTGAGGACTCCAGCTTCAGAGTACAATGATGGACGAATATGCAAGTTCCTCCTAACTGCATTGTCAATCCTTGAACCGCTCCGGCCCCCCTCAACTTCCAAGTGATCAAAAATTTTCAAAGTCTCGCCAATCTTCTTTTTCTTGCTCACCATTACCTTCAAAACACCATTTTTGCCCTTAACTCTGACGGGTTCATCTGAATCAGACATATACCTCTCCCTCAACAACGGATAATGCAACTGAGTGCCATCTCTATCCTTCCTAAGCCTATTTCTATCGTCATGATCATGCCGACTCATCCCTTCACTTCTATCGAAGTACAAGTTCTTCTTTTAAGGAAGAGCATGGCTACTTAGACCACTCTCACAATCTCTCTCAATGCCCATCCGACCAACTGCAGGCATTGAACCCAACAGTCTCCTCCTGTCAACCTCTTCTCCACTATAGTCAAATTTGTTCCTTCTCATAATCATATCCTCTTCAAGTCCATCATACTCATCAAAGTCAAACACCTCTAACCTACTCCTCTTACTCCCAGTCAAATCCTCCGCATTCCAACCAATGAAACCTTTGTCACCTGGTCTCACCCTCTCCTCCCTATTCCTCTTCCTACAAATTTCACTCTCTTCATAAACAGCTAAACCATTACAAACTTGAATTGTTTCCGGCCCAACCCTCCTTCGAGGTGGCTTTCCTAGTTCATTGCTGGAACCCGAATCACTCATTATCATCCTAGACCTCTTGTTCTCTGTTTTAGACTTGAAAATCTTATGGGTCCTTGTGGACCCGGCTCCATCCGAGCCATTCCCTTTCTTCCTCACAATCAAACATCCCGATTGGCTTCTATTCTTCACCACAATCCCCGAATGCTCACCAGATCTCAATCGCCCTTCCATCAAAAACCAAAATAAAAAAGGCCCTATATTCTTATTATCTTCCGCAAATTCATCACAAATTCATAACAAAATCCGTTAAAAACAGGAGAAAAAAGCCTAAAGTTTTGTGAGATTTAAATAATTTTATTTTTATAATATTAAAATTTAAATAATCCATACAACTACAATAATAAATTATTTAAAATAAATCAATCTATACAACTACAATAATAAATCAATTTATATTTTAAAATAAATCAATCCATACAAATAAATTATTTAAAATAAATCAATATATACTAACAAATTATTTAAAATAAATCAATCATTATTTTAAAATAAATCAATCTATACTAATAAATTATTTAAAATAAATCAATCCATATTTTAAAATAAATCAATCCATACAACTACAATAATAAATCAATTCATACTAATAAATTATTTAAAATAAATCAATACATACAACTACAATAATAAATCAATCCATATTTTAAAATAAATCAATCTATACAAATAAATTATTTAAAATAAATCAATCCATACTAATAAATTATTTAAAATAAATCAATCCATATTTTAAAATAAATCAATCCATACTAATAAATTATTTAAAATAAATCAATCCATACTAATAAATTATTTAAAATAAATCAATTCATACAACTACACTAATAAATCAATCCATATTTTAAAATAAATTAATCTATACTAATAAATTATTTAAAATAAATCAATTCATACAACTACAATAATAAATCAATCCATATTTTAAAATAAATCAATCTATACTAATAAATTATTTAAAATAAATCAATCCATATTTTAAAATAAATCAATACATACTAATAAAATATTTTAAAATAAATCAATCCATATTTTATAATAATTTATTTTAAAATAAATTATTTTATAATAAATAACCTTATTAAATTATTTAAAATTATTTTAATAAATAACTATATTTTATAATTGTTATTGAAGATGTTTGAAGACATAAAACCATATCTGCACCAAGAAGAGCTCGCGCAGACGTTTGAAGAGTTTATGTCTTCTAAAAAACAAATAGTCTACGAAGGCTAATGTCTGCGCGTGATCTGCGCGAAGCAGACATAAATTGTTTGAAGAGCTTGTACAGTGAAAACAAACACCACCTCAATCACCAACTTTTAGTTCTTTGAAAGTTTAAAGTATGTTTGTCTTTTAAATTATACAATTTTTAACCAAACGTTGCTTAAAGTTTTTGGGTGAACTGTGTAATTAGTACCTAAACTATCAGTTTTTATCTATTTTAATATTTAAACTTTTGATATTTTCAAAACCATACCTACCGTTTGTTTCATCTTAGAACCCGCTGTTAAAAATTTAATGCGTTTAGTACCTAAACTATCAAATTTGATTCGTTTTAATATCTAAACTTTCAATTCTTTTCGAAACCTAACGTTAAGCTTTCAACGAGATACTAAAATAAAATAAAAACTAAACATTAAGTATGATTTTAAAAAAATTAAAAATTTAAGTACTAAAACAAATCAAAACTGATAGTATAAGTACCAAAGAATAAATACAAGTAATTTTTATTTAAAGATAACATACAGTTATTTGACATTAAACGTTGACACCTGACATTCAAAATAATAATAATTTATTTATCCCTGTGTCCCTCAATTTGTGTGTATATGATTTTGTTAATTTTATTTAAAGTTGGTTAAAGAAATACTATAAAGCAATATATCTTTATTTTATTATAAATTAATTATAAGAAATCTCAAATAATTCGAAATATATATATATAATTTTTACAAATTTGGAATAAAAACCCATAGTTTTTTTTATTGTTTTATTAAAAAACAAACTAACGTAAAATGGATGCCAATCAAATTTAAAAATGAGATAGAAAAAATTAAATCTTTTTTCCCCCTAAAAACTGGTGGTAATTACATGATGCAGTAAAAAAGTAAAGGGTTTCAGTGATACACTATTGATCACACATTATGCTCCTCAGAAGAACCCGATTGATCTGAACCAAGATCCGATGTTGATATAGTTACCATCTCTATTGCATCGGGATTTCTCCGGGGAAGCCGGCTTCGCTAGTTTGCCCCCGGAATCGAAATTGGCAAACTTGTTTTCCTTAATCGAGACTCAATCTACAAAGTTCATCGAAAATGGCTTCGTTATCAACTCAATGAACATCATCACGTATCGCTTTCATCGGATGTTAGACTGTTATCATGTCCATCGGGAGTATTTTTCTTGACACCGGAGTCTGATTCTGTTTCATTTCCCTTGTCTACAGCGTTATAGTCCGTATAGGTACTGATGTTTTCACCGTCCGAAGCAGATTCGGTTGCCTTGTTCCCCGACTGTGAATCAGTGCCATCATCAGACTGGTTATGTTCAGCAGGATAATCCAATCCTGCCTTATTCTGCACCTCAGGTGCATCATGGCTTGAGCTAGGGCTTGCATCATATTTACTATCCGGCCGATATAAATTCCTCGTGTCCACTGTTTGATAATTAGTAAGTGCAGTTTCGTCATTAGGTTCCGGGCATTCATCCGAGGAACCACTGGTTCCACAAGTATCATTTACAGGCACGTTTGGACACCGCGAATCTGAATCTGAATCTGCAACTGCAGTTTCACCATTCATTCAACTAGAACGATGCAAACCACCATCATCACACTCTTGAGTATCATTCCCAGATGATGAACCGGGCTCAGATCCATTAGCCACCTCAGGAGTGATATTCTCATTAGATCTTGGCTCAGCCGTCAAGTTTGCATCCATGTTTTCTAGCTTCAGCAGAACCTTCTGCAGCATAGCTACACCCGGAAAGACCAACATATTCATCGACCTCATTTCTTGTTTAACCGATTCCTCGAGAGCAGTGAAACCAAAAACGGCAGTCCAGGTATGTGTAATTTCAGCTATAGCAGGGATGACTAGTTTGTGAACCTTGAGAGAACAGAGAGCCTTCAGAAAAACAAAGAACAACTGAGTTAAGCACAATCCAGACATGATACACATATATGAACACGCTTCTCACAGCTTACCGACTCAATAGCACCGAAAAGCCGTCGGTACATTCTCTGATGCCTGTATATGTGACGTGTTCCGATGAATGGCATCTCTGCTAGCTGAGTTCCATGAAACCTACATACGGAAATAAGATACCAAAACGGTATGCAGTTATTAGAATGATAGATAATCCAGATATTGATAATCCAGATGCATTCAAAGTAATTCTGTTTAGTGATTCTAGTCTTCATTAAAGGGGGAAGGTGCAAACAGCACACAGATGACAAAAATGTTAATTACCTGATTGATGCCGCAGAAATTATTTCATCGCCTCTCTCTAGAATAGCAGTGTAGAATCCAGAGTAATTCAGCCTGTTGAAGTTTGATCTATGAAGATAAAAGCAGTAAATGACAAACGATTAGACGTTTGATAAAGAAGACAAGAACGGATAAAAACACTATCCCAAATCATAGCATAGCAAGAGTTTAATGTAATTTTAAACAGTTGGATAAATTAATATCAAACACTGCTTAAATACGAAATTTACCCCAGACCCTTTAGAAGACTGTTATAGTATATAAAACTATGGCATGCAATCACTATATGGCAGTTCTCTACGGTAAATAAAATGCTTACCCGCAATTATAAAGGACATTGTTTACTAAGTTGATCCCACTCCTCCTGTCGACAATGGGCAAAAAGCATTCATCCATCACAGTCAGAGCAACAGCTAGTTTAGAATTGCATTCCACCATTTGTGGAAGCCCTCTGGCAAATATATCTGAATCTGCATCTATTCTTCGGATAAGAGACAATGAGAATCCTCCTCCTAGTTCATGTTTGACCCCTAGATACTTCTGTAAACGCTCAAAGAGCTGTAGAAACAAAAAAAAAACACGGCAGCAAATACAAATTTTATTGCTACACGTCATGATAAGTGTTTTACCCACAGGTACAAAGCTACATATTAGCCTTGCACACTTCAAACATTTCGAAGAAACAGTATGATTCCCAAACAAAGATAAAGAAAGAAACCTTGAGATTCACAGCAATGGAGAAATAAAATCCCATGTCAAGTGGCATAATATACAATCTATCAGAAAACAAATATATAAACCTTGATGGACTGTTTATGTTTAATAGCATCATGGTAAAACAGTTAACACTGCATACGAATAAAATTTCATTGTCCATAGGGTTCATAGTAACATTGTGTTAGCTAAAAACCATAGCAACAAAAGTCAATATCATCATGTAATGAAAACCGAAGTTACTTTCAAACCAACATTATTTCCTTCTCGGCAGTTTTATGCAAGATAGGTTTAGATGGTATACAGAGGGCATGAATGCCTCTACAATCGATTTTCCCATTTTCTTGGTTTACATCTAATTACAATATTCAGCATTCCACAGAAGAAAAATATATTACCTCACTGCATGTCTGCCCACAAAAAGGAAGAGCTAAACTGTTGGATTCAATATGAATCACATCTGTCACTTTGATGCAAGATTTGTGGTCTGCAGAAGTGGAAATGATCAGATTCTTTTTGAAACGAAACCAAGGAGAGGAAACTAAAAAGGAACTTCAAACTTAAAAGTATTGAAAACAACAAAAAGAAGAGAATGGGTACATCTTTTCTCGCACAGGCTGCAAGTGAGAAGGACACCATCAGTTATATCATCCTCTTGAGCAACGCTGCTGCCATTAGCACAAAATTTGCATATGCAATATGGGCATTGCCAACCACCCGCTGGTAGAAACTGTAAAAGAGTAGATATAAAAGCTAAGTGAAGCCACTAAGCAGAGCATTGTTAACACAAACAAGCCAAGTTTGCATTCGACTACGAAGTAGAATAAGTAAAACAAGCATACCAAAAAAATTCAAACAGGAGTACAAATTCAAAAAAAAAAACTAAAATAGTGTTGCTGTAAGGAGGATAAATTTATAGGGAAGAAGAAGAATAAAAAAGCGAACAAAAGAAAGTAACCTCCATTTATAAATGCAAAACATTATATAGAAGGTACAAAAGTTAGGCAACAATACCTCTATATTGAGGCAGCTCTGATGTAATGTTGAGGGACAACTATCACAACAAATTAGATCCCCACCCTCTCCACAAATGCCACAAGTATCATCATTGGGGTCATCACCATTTACATCTACAGAATGATAACCAATCTGCTCAGACTCCACTTGTCTGTTCCATGCATCTATTTGGCACTGAAGGAGAGAAACACCAGAATCCAAATATATATTCTGAAATGGCTGGTGCAATTTGCTTCCGGAATGAATCTCAAATTTTGAAACGGTTAGGATCTTACTACAACCACAGTGGATTCCATCCCTGGTGATCCAGCCCTCTAGCATCACTTTTGTATGCTTATGGTTCATATACAGCACCTTTTGACTCAACTGCACAGCCCCAGAATCAATCAGCCAGGCAAGCAGTGTTCTTTTCCCAGTATATGGAACAAATTCATCACCCTCTGAACATGGACCCACGTTAGAAACACGAACCAACAAGGTGCATCTTCCAAGTTTTCTACTTTTTCTTCCACGGACAAGATGAGAAGTGGGTATAGATGATGGTTTTTCATAGCTATCATACACATGGAGTGAACTTTGACCTTTTGAATTTCCACTGAAGACATCATTGTCATTCATCCTACATTTATATGACTTACCATCATGAAGGAACTTGGTTTCTCTTCATGGCTCAAGTTATCCATACTCTCTTCTTCATGCCTGATGCTTGAATATTTCCTAGAAACAGGTTCTCGAGCATTCTCACTGCCACTTTCATCTTTTATCTTCTTTTTCATCTCCCTCTTCTTTCCTGTTTTCCTTGTTAATTGGCTGAGTACTTTATCTGATAGTGGGGCAAATGCCGGACCATCCCCGAAGTGATTCCTGTCATTTTCCTCATCTAGCTGCTTTCGAAGTGCATCATATGCCTTGATGATGGACCAGTATGCAGTTCCAGCAGGGTTGATGTACACTGCATCCAAGTAATCCCTGTTTCGTCTTGGTCTATAATCGATTGTCCAACCTGCTTCCTGAAGCATCCCCCTTATTTGTTCGCGCAATTTCTGTTTTTCTGTCCCACACCCACGCCTAACTTTTCCTTCTTTGATTCTGGTAGAATGAAGCAGCTCAACTTGAGTTTTCTCCTCTTTGCTACTTACCCTCTTTGTTGGGTTAGAAGTTTCAGAATCCTTTGGTCGTAGCTTCAGAGATGTATCACTGTCATCTGAATCACGGTCAGAGACCTTATTCTTCTTAGTTGTTGGTGTCCTAAGCAAACTCTTTTTCTTTTTCTCTTTCCTACTGAATGAAACAGGCTTCTCGAGAACTCCTGTCTGCGAGTACAATGATGGACAAACATGCAAGTTCCTCCTAACTGCATCATCAATCCTTGAACCACTCCGGCCCTCCTCAACTTCCAAGTGATCAAAACTTTTCAAAGTTTCGCCAATCTTCTTTTTCTTGTTCACCATTCAAAACACCATTTTTGCCCTGAACCCTGATGGGTTCATCTGAACTAGCCATATACCTCTCCCTCAACAAAGGGTAATGCATCGGTGTACCATCCCTATCCTTCCTGAACCTGTTTCTATCATCATGATCACCCCAATTCATCCCTTCGCTTTTATCGAAGTACAATTTTTTCTTCTGCTTCTTCTCATGAAAAGCATGCCTGCTTGGACCACTCTCATATTCCGTCTCTATACTCATCTGAGCAACCGCAGGCATTGAACCCAGCAATCTCCTCCCACACACATTGTCTCCACCATAACCAAATCTGTTTCTTCTCATAATCATATCCTCATCAAGTCCACCGTACTGATTAACGTTGAACACATCTAACCTATTCCTCTTACTCTCACTCAAATACTTATCATTCCAACCAATGAAACCTTCCTCACTTGCCCTTATCCTCTCCTCCCTATTCCTCTTCCTACCAATTCCATTCTCTTCATAAACAGCTAAACCATTACAAACCTGAAACGTCTCCGGCTCAACCCTCCTTCGAGGTGGCATTACTAAATCATCGCTAGAACCCGAATCACTCATAATCATCCTAGACCTCTTCTTATCTGTTTTAGACTCGTAAATGTTACGGATCCCTGTAGACCCGGGTCGACCCGAAACATCTCCTTTCTTCCTCGCGATCAAACACCCCGATTGGCTCCTACTCTTCACCACAATCCCCGAATGCTCCCCTGATCTCGACCGCTCTTCCATCAAAACCAAACAAACAAACAAACAAACAAACAAACAATGAACCTAAATTCCTATTATTTTCCTCAAATTCATCGAAAATTAAAACAAAATCAGTTAAAAGCAGAAGAATAAAATCCAAATCTCGCACATTAACAAGATCTTTGGTGAAAAATTCCCGGAAAAAGTGAAAACCAAACAGAATAAATACAAAATTCAAAAGAATGTCTAATATTTTCAAACGAGATAATGCCAAGCGCGAAAAGTGATACCTCGCTGTTGATAAAAAGCAATTTCGTTTCACCGGCAAATCGCCGGCGATAACTGAAGCAATTTCCCGGCGAAGAAAACAAAAGGAAAATAGAGGGCGAAAAAGAACTGTGCAGAGAAATGTATATACTTCGGCTTAGGATTATAATATTAAATTAAAAAAACGAAATAAAATAAAATAACAAATTCAAATTATTTCTTGCGTAAACTAAAAAAAATAGTTCCCAAACTTTTAGATATCTTGCATTCAGTCACCAAACTTTTGAAACTTACAATACAATCATCAAATTTTTAGTTCGTTTTCATTTCTATCCCTGCCGTTACCTCGGTTAGATTTTCACTGATGTGGCAGGTAACGCCCGTTAACCCACCCCCTCCTCCTCCTCCTCCTACCTTTGAAACCCTAACCTTCAAAAAATCAAAAACCCAAAAAATCATAACCCCTTTGAAAATCATAACCACCACAAAATCGTTTTGTCCCTGGAAAGAAATGGCAAACTGGAAACAATTGAAGCAATAAATGAGAGGATCCGGAAACGGTTCAAGAACTTAAAATTGTCAAATAGTAATTGCACCAAAGTTTGCAGACATGCCTCGATTGCTTGGTATCGATCTATTATAATTAGCTTGGCATCAATCACTCCGTTGCAATCTGGATTCTCGAACGAGGTTCAAACTCTTAACCAACCGTTAGATGGTGTTGTGGAAAGCAGCCAGCAGCTTTATGTTGATCTGCAAACAACTGAACTATGGAATTCATCGATTGAGGACTCAACTCATTTGGAAAGTCTCAAAACAAAATGGAACCCGACTTTGGCAAAAATTAATAATATCGTGAAAAAGAAAGCTTCCGACGGAGATTCGGAGACTGTCAACACTTTGCTCAGAAGTTCGTACAATTTCTATTGGGAGAGCTCCTGTGCAATGCTCCCATCCGTGATCAACCTTTCGTTGGTGCCATCTCGACTATTGAAAGAAAATCAGTTCCCGTCAAGCATTGAAGGGGTTGAACCTCTTGAACTAAGCATTTCAAGGAAGCTTTTGTCGTGGGCTTATACGTTGTTGAATGGCCGCTATGCCGGCATCTCAGCTGTTGTAAAATACTGTGAAGAAAATGCTAAGGCATGAAAGAAAGGTCTTCACTTCCGTATATCCACTGGAATATGAAACAATTGTCCGTGCACGTAAAATTATTCATCGGATTCCTTTGTTCCGCAGTTGAAGATGAAAAGAGGCGCTGCAACATCATCAGCACCTCAAAATACGAACACTGCCGTGTCCTGCCAAATACGAGCACTGCCGATATTGTAGCGGTGTGAACGTGGAATCATAGTGGGCGATAGCGGTAGCAACTTAACGGGTAACGGCCGATCGCGACGGTAACAACCTGTTATTCCCGTTATTTTTTGTTACACCAAATCAGTCCATCAAAACGGGTTCGAAAGAGAAAAAGAGAGAGAAGGGGATTCGAACACAACAAAAAACAGTGTGATTCGAAACAAAAAAACGAAAAAAAAGATAGGAGATTAGTGTTATTCTACTTAAAAATCTTTTTTTTGTATTCATTGTCGCCAAACCTTGTTTTTTACCCTTTCAATCTCTGTTTTTGATGCATGTTGAGATTCAAAACGAAAAAGAAAATAGAAAAGTAAAAAAGGAAGAACGAAACACTTTACATGTTTTGTGGATTTGGGTGGAAATCACTGGAATCGAAAAAGAAAATCTTCGTCGGAGTGAAAATCATTGGAATCGAAGAAGAAAGAGGGAGAAATGAGAGAACGGTGGGGTGGGGTGGGGTGGGGTGGGGTTTAGGATTAAAATATTTTAAGATTTATTGGGCTTAAAACATAATCCACTCACATTCCTATTTTCTATTTTTAATTTTTAAAGAATATATTAATTTATCATCCTTATTACTTTTTAAAATTTATAATTTAATCATTGGTTTAGAATATAAATTTTTATTTTTATTTAATTTAGTTCTAATTTCAGTCATTTAAATAATAATGTTTCACAATGTTATCATTAATTAATTATCTTATCTTATTATCGGATTTTTAAAGTCTTCTATTTAGTTAAACTATATATATATATATATATATATATATATATATATATATATATATATATATATATATCATTTTCACTTAAAAAATATTTAAAATATTATTAAAAATGATTCTTTATAATTATGTCCACATTCGCAATAAACGTAACGTGACTGCGAACGTTATTTAAATCCATATGTACGTTAATTCTGCCGCTCAGGTAACAGATTGCTTTTATTTTATTGTTTCTTTGTGTTTTACCATTCCGAAACTCGACAGCTACTTTCCCCGTGTCTCAATATAACATTTGCTAAACTTTCCAGCTGCCGCTAGCTACAAAGAAGCAGCAAGTCATGGCGGAGGAAGTGAAGCCGAGGCTGTTGCGGTGATATCAGGGCCACCCGTTGTAGTGTCCGAAAGCGATAACAGACATTCCACGAGTCTGCTTCCGTCATCGAGTGAGGGTCAAAGGAGCTTGCTTATGGCTCCTCAACGTCTTTATTATAACGACGAAGAGGAAAGGGAAAGGAGTAGTGTTGCAAGTCATGGAGGTGGGTTAACGTGCGTTACTTGCCACGTCAGCAAAAATCTAACTATAACGACATGGACACAAATGAAAACAAACTAAAAGTTTAATACTGTATTACAAATTTTAAAAGTTGATTGACCAAAATACAAGCATCCTAGAAGTTTGGGACTATTTTTATAGTTTACCCTTATTTTTTATTAATATGAAGCAAGTACATGACCGTATATGTTTAAAGCTAATTCTCAACTAATCATTTGATATTAAACATTCATATCCCGACATTTTTTATGCTCAAATCCGAGACCTCAAAGAATAAAGAAAAATTTTAGACTTCTAAAATAACTTGATTCGTGCAACAAATAAAATTATTGTAATAAGTGCTCTTTTGACACTACATTTAAATAAAGTATACAAGAGTTCATGAAGTTTTTTTTTTGTCATTTTGAATGATGTTTTTAATAATTTAATCTTGTAAAAAAATTTAAATCAACAATTAAATTTATTAAAATACTATAAAATAATTACTAAAATTAATTAAACAATTATAAATTTATATGATGTACACCCACAGTTTCCGTTTGCTTATGTAACAATTTCTCGTTAGCCGTTTGGTCCTCAAAGTGTTGACTCAGGTGTTTTACCTTTTACCGTTAGATAGAACCGTTTTTTGTTTTTCTTTTTTCGAATAATATGTATCAATTATAAAATAATATTTATTTTCGTAATTTTTTTAATTATTAATAATTCATATATATCCTATAAATATAATTGTTCAAACTCAAGATCTGAGAACAACATTTCCTTAATTACTAAAATTACTCAATAAGTTCGATGTCTTTTGGTTTTTACTTGTTTCCATAAACCTCTTTTATACCATAATTAAATTATACCTTAAAGCCAGGTATAATTTACATTGATTAAACTTCAAGTAGTATTTTACATTGATTAAATAAATATTTTCAATCATAATATTTAGAAAATACATTTCTAAGTCCCTTGAATCTTAATAATATATATATATATATATATATATTATTTACAAATTTAATAAACTTATTTTTATTTTAATTTTTAATCAATTAAACCGAGGAAAAAATATAATTTTTCGTACTTTTCTATGTTTTAACAGTATTTTTAACTTTACTTTTAAAATTTTTAAAAATTAAAATTATAGATAAGTTACTCACATTTTTTGTCTAAATATTTATTGTTTTTAACTTTTCATTTTTGTACAAATAACAAAGTAACTGTCAATATTTATAAAAAGATAAAATAATAGTATTGAACTAACTTAACAGATTATTATTATTATTATAATGAAAACATGAAATAATTTTTTTTTAATATTTTGGTTTTATAATTATTACTTTATATTGAAAATTTAATTATAAATATATTTTTGGTCCATGACTTCTTTTGATGATGTTAACAAGGATCTAATAGTGGTATGAATCTCACTTTCAGTTCTTTCATTTATAGAATTTTTCAATCTCATCCTATATCGTATGTGACTATTTTTCTAGCAATACACATCGAACACTCGTGTCCAATACATGAATATAAAGATATAGCTTCAAAGAACGCTCTAAATAAAAGAGCTTAAAACATCGACCATACTCAAATTTGGCGAGTAACATAACCTCATGAACCTTCAAACATGCCACATTCACAGGTAACTCTTCTTGTGACCGTAAAAAGTGTTCGATGTTACGGTAGGATGAATTTCCGACTTTAGAGACGACACTGTTATGAAGGAAAATCACAAACTAAGACATGGACTGTAAAACGGATAGACTGGCAGATATGAAGAAAAAACACGATTTTCTAATAAAACTTGAACAACATTCTTGCCTGCGGTAAAGGGCAGACACTGCCGGCCGGCTTTAACGGTAAACACGAATTGCAACTGAATAATCAGACAGGTTTTTGCTTTTTTGCTTTACGGGTAAAATCCAAACCATTTTCCTCTCCCTTCTTCTTATCTTTGCCAACTCTCTTCGGTGCCTGAGACCAAATAATTGTAAAGATGTTAAAGATTAAATCACAAAGCATGGCAATGTCACAACATTCTCATATAATCATGAAACTGATGTTTGGTTCACCTCAGAAGAGAAACTCTTGAGAGGATCTCTGCTTTTTCTGTATCTTTTCTTGGCTCCCTGGCGTCGACCGGATTTGTTATCTCCCATTGCAGCCCTAGTAGCTTGACCATTTGCTGGCATCACGTTTTTTTGGTCTAACAGATAGTCGGGCACATCACGGAGATGGGGAGCGGGAGGGTCCTTGCTCAGAACCTTGTCATGCTTCAACAAATCTGGCACGGTAAAAAGCACGAGACGTATAACGACTCTAACAGATACTCGGGAGATCGTAAAAACGTTGAAAATAATGAAAGCAATAGCCTACTGTGTCCGTTCATTACCTAGATCTCTTGGATTTACTTCGAAATGAGCCTTCAACCTAACCAAAACAAAAGCAACCAACCCAAAAAAAACTTGATACAAAACCCGGCAAACAGTCTAAATTACAGGTGCACTGTTGATATCTTTGACAAACAGTAATTACTCACTTTTCAGAGTTGAGAATTTCGTTCCTTAAATCTTTAGCTCGTGATTCTCTAACGGCAATTCTCGTCACACTCCTTGCCACATCCTGCAAGATTCGCCCTCTCAAAATAAGCACCATGAACTAAATATATAAACCAGTTGGCACCTAAACAATGAATTTGTAAAAGCTAAAACTTTTCACTGTTCAACAGCCAATAAACTTAACCATAATAACTAAAATCATATCATTGGACATTGAAAGATCAAAATAGAATCACCTCGGCCCTGTATCGCAAAGACTCCACAGCATCCTTGGTCAAAAGTGAAAATGGCATAATAATATTTGTGCCATTGTCTTCTTCTTCACCCAAGAAGGATTTAATTTCTTTAAAAATTTCCATCTCATCTGGTGAAACCTGTTAATGAAAGAAGGATTAATTGGCAAGAACTATGAATAACAAATTAAAACAAAATGCAAATTCATAAGCAGCTATGAATGGTGATTAATGAGTAATTTAGCCAACTTTGTGGCCCTACAGAAGTTATTTATAATTTTGTCAGACAAACTCACAAGAGAAACAGAAGCACCAGCACTATATGCTCTTCCAGTGCGTCCAATACGATGTACATATCCTGAAGCACTTGAAGGCATATCAAAATTTATAACCTGCGCAAGAAAGAACATGAAAACAACTCTAAAACAAAAGGCCAGTAACTATAGTACACAGCAAACTTTAAAGATGAAAAAACTAATCCTAATAAACATTAACAACTGACCATAACTTTTGAAGCTAAGTTTTTTAAAAAATAAAATAGCTTACAGTGTGAACATTTTTGAAGTCAATTCCCCTCACAACACCGAATTCAGAGTCAATTTTTGTCTTAGCACCCTTTCTGGACTTCCTTGAGTGTACATCCTTGTCCCTAACAGCTTGTTCCTTCTCTTTTGTTTGACTGTCATCAGTCGCAATCAAATAGTCAAAAAGCCCCACATTGAATTCCTGATGAAAGAAAAAAAATTGCAGGTATAAGCAACTAAACTAACAACAGTTAGTAGATATCAGTATGGCAAACAATCACAGCAAACGTGTCTAATGGTATTATCAAAATTTTAATCTTTCAGCTCTAGCATTGCATAAAGAGCTATAAATGTAAAAAAATCACAATGCATTGCCAATGGTATTATCAAATTTTTCACCTTTCAGCTGTGGCATTGCATAAATAACAATACATATAAAAGTCTTTTAAATCTAAATAGAACCCATTGAAACATGACTATTTACTATACCTCCAGGATATGTAGACGAGAGTTCTGAGGCAACTCAGCATTCAAGATAGCAGACCTGATTCCAAACTGCACACAGTAAACGCTATGAGAGATAACAGGATAGCCTATTTATTTATTTGAGAAGAACTGAACGTGTTCAAACATGTTTGAGCCTCAGTAGCAAAATTTGATAACCATTGTTTTGAAGTCAAAATAACATACTAACAAAAAAAATTGGGTACTGCAGTACAACCTAAAATTTAAGGCTAAAAACTGACAGAAATCGGGTGCAACTGAAAATGTTACATTCTTCATAACATTTTGGTTGCAACCTAAATGTTACCTTATCATCAAACTTAAAATGTTATGCTTTTGATAACACTTCCAGTCGGGCCCAATTTCCGCCATTTTAACCTTAAATTAAGCTGCCTTTTTTAGACTTTCGCAAAAGAATCATAATGTCACACACATGGTAATTTCCAAGAGAAGCAAAAAAATTAAAGTGCCCAAACTAGGCCTAATCTAAGATAGAGGTTACATGCAATGGAACACTTGGTGGTGACATTCGAGAAGGATGACAAAAATCTACATTGCTCATGTGACGTACTTTAAAACTATTCAAGTTGGCAATTGCTTTTACCTTTATGATACGAACTCAAATAGAAAGCATGCAAAAATATTAATGAAGATAATTAGTGACTACTAAATAGCAAAGGTGAGGGAACCTTAAATTTAAGATGAAGACTGAATACCTTTTCGAAGAATAATTTCAATTTGAAACCAGCATCAATAGTGTTGGTAAAAAATAAAACTTTCTTCAACACCAACTCCAACTTTATGAGAGCAAGAACATAAAGTAACTTATCACTCGTATTACATGAAATCTGAAAAAACAAAAGATAAAGGGGTAAAGATGTGGAAGCTTAAATAAAACTACAAATAAGTTTTGCAATCCATCAAAGAACACGGGAGACTAATTTAGGTAAACCATTTTTCTAAAATTAGATCAAAATCAGCCAACTAAATGCAATAGCCATGAAAATTTCCTAATATAGGTTACAGGTTCTAACCCAAAACTGCTGCACACTTTTTGAGATAACCTCATCCTTAACATCTTCTGCTTCTGACAGAGTCAAAATGAATGGATTGTGCAGAATCAGCTTTTTAAGTTGGTCAACATCAGGGCTGCCAAATATCAAATGCCAAAATAGATTGATCAGCAGGGATTGGCAATCTTAAAGGAAAAAAGAAGAATAGTAAAGTTACACATACAAAATAACCCAATATTCAAAACACACAGAGCTTAAAACATACACAACATAACCCAACTTACAAAACATACAAAGCTTATAACACACCTTGATGTAGCAGACATGAGTAGGCATTGACAACGTCTAGGAATGGAAGGAGTAAGAGCTTTAAGATCATCTCCAAAACCAAATTGCAGTAAGAGATCTGCCTGTAATCAAATATCTGTCAATGACATCCTTTCGAAATATTGAGGAATAACGTGTCAATGGTAGAAACTGTAGCACATGGCAATATAGGTCTCAGATTTATTTGATATATGCTAAGTAAGAAAGCAGTGAGAATTTAAGGTATGTAGTCCCATTCCAGATAACATAATAAGATGTTTAAAGAGCAGCTTGCAAATCATATGAGTACATACTTACTCCATTCATAAAATCATCTATGATAAAACTTTAGAAAGTTGCACTAAATTTAACTCAAAATCTTACCTCATCAAGGAAAAGAATTTCTAATGATTCACCAATAGAAGCTGGCTGAAGTAATCCAGCAGACAAGCAATCTCTTATGCACTTGGGCGTAGTTACCAAAAGATCCGGAGGCCCTGCCAATGCAGCTAGCTGCAAATTTAACAATACAAGATAAAATGTCAGTAAAGGTAGTTCAATGCTGCATTACAAGAATAAAGCATAAATAATAAAACTAACCAAATCAGAAACTGGCATTCCACTGGTCAATTGCACAATTTTCAATTGAACCCTACATAGTTCAACCAATGAAACGGCCTCTTTATAAACCTGGAAAACAATTATACAAGCAAACACCAAACAGTTAATAAAAATATAATGCTGAAACTACTGGCTATCTTCTATTTTCGAAAATTAAATTGAAAAAATTTCCGATTTTAATGCAAGAAGTTAAAAACCAAAACGAGTCGAAAAAATATAGCATGCCTGTTGACATAATTCACGCGAGGGAACGAGAATGAACCCGCCTGGAGCAAGCCGGGACTTCGACACCGAATCCGTGGGAAACAGCTTCTGAAGCAACGGAAGTAGATATGCAAAGGTTTTGCCGGTGCCTGTTCTAGCTTGAGCTACCACGTCTTTTCCTTGCTAATAACACGAGTTCGCCATTCCGGAACCAATTAAACATCAAATAACGAAAAATAACCATTAACTAAGTAAAGAATTAAAGATGATCCCAAGCTTACTAGAATGAGAGGGATTGCAACGCGTTGAATTGGAAAAGGCTTGTCAACGCCTTTCTTGAGAAGAGCTCGGATTAATCGATGATCCAGACCTAATTCTTCGAAGGTTTTCTCCTCTTCTTCTTCTTCGTCTTCCTTTCCATTGCGTTCTATTCTCTTATTTTCTTCTTCTGGGGTAGGTTTGGGATCTTGTGGAGGGTTCCGTTTGTCCATTTTAGCCATTTTTTTATGTAGAGTCTTAGCTTCCACGATCTTGGCGTTGAAATTAGGGTTTAGGGTTTTAAAAGTGGACGGAGAGAGTAATGGTGAATGGGTATGGGTGATTGATTTGTGAAAATGGGTCAAAACCCCTAGAGAAAATTGGGCTTACCAAATTAGGGCTTGAAAATAAAACTGAAAACTATAATAAATCAAAGGACCAAAATGGAATTGTGTGTTTATTGTTATTCTGTCCAGGGTAAGTAAAACTCGACTCAACTTATTTTTTTCAAATCAACACTAAAAGACTTGACTTAACTCGACTTGTAATTAAATATCGAATTTGAATCATCATATTGTTTTGGGTGATCTACGCGTTTAGTACTTTAAACTAACAATTAAACTATTAGTTTTTATCTGTTTTAGTACCTAAATTTTCAAAAAAAAATCAAAATCATACATAACATTTAGTTTTTAGTTCATTTTAATACCCCGTTAAAAGCTTAACGTTAAGATTTGAATTTTTTTTGAAAGTTTCGATACAAAAATAGACCAAAATTGATAGTTTAAATATTAAACGTGTTAAGTTTTTTAACGATGAGTACTAAAACGAAACAAAAACTAAATATTAGGTATGATTTTTAAAAAAATTAAATATCAGCTGACTCTATTCCCATATGTAATGGGGTAAGGGGAAGGTATGATAGTAGGCTGCCCCCAACGTCAGGTTGAGAGCAGCTTCCGTGGGAGACCTCCGACAGTCAGAATTATGAATTGTCCACTGTGAGACTAAAACTAATTAAAAATTTAGATATTAAAATAGACTAAAACTAATAATTTAGATACTAAACACTTTTAATTTACCCTAATTATTTTTATCTTTCTAATTGAAAAGTTAATAGTCCTTTGATTTGTAGGTGCCACTGGCATGTACTAGAATGACCTTTTGAAGACCCATTCAAGTCGCAAAAAGCAGAATTCGACGTGGAAAATGGGCTCATAGGAGCTCTGCAAAGTAATGATATGACCCACCCACCCACCGGAGCAAATCTTTGTTTAATACTTCCATTAAAATTAGGTGTACGTCGTAGATTAATTTAAATTATTTAAGATAAAATTTTAAAACTAAAAAGACAAAAAAATAATGATCTGATCCGATTTTAATTATTTCTATTTTTGGTCCGCGTATTTAAAAATAAGTTTGTGAATCGATTAAAATTAATCTATTTAAAGTACATATATTAAATCTATAATTTATATGTCATATAAGTATTAACCATAAATTTTGAGCCAATTGACAATGTATTACAAACGGAGTGAAGTGAGGGGTAGTATTGTACCTCACCTCCGAAAAATGTCATTCGTCTATTCGAGACTTTTAGGTGGTAGATTCGTTCATTTATTAGAGTTTTTAGTGTTTTTAGTGAATCCATATTCTTTCTATATAAGAATGTTAATAGTTTTCGAGTTAATTATAGTGTATAGACAAAAGTTTCGACGGGCGCACATGATATATCAAAATAGAATTTAAGATTTGATATCTAAGTCTATTTAACATGTTTACCTATAAGTAGTCATAACTATCATATGTCCTACACCATCTGTCGGAACGGTCCTTAAACTTTTTGATGAGTTGGAATGGGATCAAACCAACTTAATTTTAAAACTTAGGGATTAAGAAAACAATTTAGAATTACCATCGACCTTTGGGTTAGGCTTTAAAAATATTTTTAGAAAAAAATGAATTAAAAGATAAAAAAACCAGTATGCGTTGAACCATAAATTCATTTCAAAACGGAGTTCGAGAGTCGGTTACGCGTGAGGAAGGGTGAACACCCCAACAACGCCCAAAATTAGTATCCGATTGATTATATGTCGGTTTTTATGTTTGAGAATTGTAAATTTTAAATAGTATTTAAATTATGACATTTATGTATGAATAATCCTCGAAAACACGCTTCTCTTGCATCTGAGAGACTTTTCCGTAGATTACCTTTACATAATAACAATGACTCGGTTTTTAATTAAGGCGGTTTAAGATCATACTCAATAATTATTAATATTAAAACTAGATCGACCTAATATAATGTATGAACAATTCTTAGGAAATCACTTCCCTTGTATCTGGGAGACTTTTCCACAGATTCCCCATTCAAAATGATGTTGTTGATTTATATTCGATAACATATAGACACATTATTAAAAAAATAATGATTAAAAGCAAAACCAACTAAACCAATTAATACTTAAATAAAGCCACATAAACATTTAATGTTTAATAAAAAAAACCGAAAACCCATATATATATATATATATATATATATATATATATAATAGGCATACAAAAATACAAATGTAATGAAGAACAAGAGTCAAATGCAATTATCACAAAGCACATATACTGGAAATGCAAATAACCATAAAAATAAGGGGATTAAAATGAAACAAATTAAAACTGCACGTCAAATGTAAAACAAATGAAAACTAACAAAATCATATGTCGGTATTTATTTTGTAACTTTTAATAGTCAATGGACTTAACAAATAAATTTTTTTATAATTAGAGTAGAGACGGAACATAAGCAAGACTAGTGAGGGGCATGCCCCCAAAATTTTAAAAATTATAATTTAAACCCTTTAAAGTTTAAAAAAAAATTAATTTGGTCCCCCAAATTTTTTAAAAGTTCAGATATTAAATTTTTTAATATTCTTAATTAAATCCTCTTCCGTAATTAAAAAAGAAATCTTATTAAGCCTCTCAAAATTTCAAAAATTTTAGTTAGACCCTAATATTTTTGGAAAAAATATAAATTAAACCTTCAAAAATTTTTGAAAATTTTAGTTTAAACTTCTAAATATTTTAAAGTTTTAAGTTGACTCCCAACTTTATCACTAAGTTACATCAATGAATTAAAGAAATATTTTGAAACTTTTAATAATTAAAATTATTAAACTATTTATATATTTTATCTTAATTTAATTTTAAAGCATTCATACATCCGTACCATAATAGTATTAAAAGTCGTGTGACGGTGGAAAAGTAATAAAGCGATATGAATACGTGGAAGCAAAAAGTCGATTTCTCCATGACCTAACCTTTCTGGTACTATTGCTTTAAGTTTAAGAAAGTTGCGTCTACTAAACTCACAAAATTAAATGTCTCAAATTCAACAACCCCTAACTATTTATAAAAATTTCATTTTTCTATATAAAATACACTAAATTTTGTTGGCTTCCCCAATCCTGACTAATTTGAATCGACCTGAGTCACACATCTGATTTTGGAGGGTGCGTCTTTCAACGGGGGATTTTCTGCATGCACAACAATTCGAGCCTGAAACCTTGTTTAAACGATATCAATATGCTTACCACTTAAATCAACCCGTTAGTTAAAATACACTAAATTTCAATATTAGGAAATTCAACATTTATTAAAATAAATGAATATTTTTTAGTCTGATAAATTTATGATTCATGTTGAAAAAATTATTAAATTCAAAAACTTTATCTCTTACTAACACTATTGACATTAAATAGCTATTAGAATAAACGGATATTTTTGTCAAGTCATGGCCTGTAGTTTTCGATTTAAATGCTTATTAGGTCTTAATCAATTTTAAATTAAACAAATTAGACCATGATATCTCCATCTTAAAACGACAACTCAATCATTAGACCCTATATCTTCTTCTTTTTCATTCTTTTATATTTATCCCACAATTTTTCATTTTGATTGCGGTGGTTACGGGAATCATGGTCATACAATAACGGTCGTAGAAGGCACCACTACCGTTATATAGCGGAAGTTAAATCCCTAGCTTACGTATAATAAGCTAAATACAGAAAATATCTAACCAAGTTGGCGAGCAGACCAAATCACAAGGCGCCGCAGTTAGGTCGGTGACATACACATATACTGGTTGAACCACTCGAAACCATCAAAATTGCTCGGACCATCCCTACCTATTTATTCTCCATAATATGATCTGTCATTTGTGGTTGCAGGTCTTTATGACCTGTTAGGCTTCAGACTTCATTTGGATATTGTTGGGGTTGAATAATTCTGTGGTTGGAATTCGAGGTTAAACCAAACGGTTTAATTATGATTTTAGTCCCTATACCATCCATGTCCGTATCCGTAGCATTAGGATCAAATTGTGTCAAATTAAAGTACAGGGACTAAAACCATGATTAAACCAATCCTAGCCGCCTTTAACATTGCCCCTGCCCAATACTTGCTCTAAAATGACAAAGAATCAATGTGGATTCAGAAGAGAGTGGAACATTTTTTCATGCTTTAATGTAAAGGGGTAATATACAATAAAACTTCACTGACTTGGTGAATATAAATGAGCAAAACTCTGCAGCCTCTACACATCTACGGCATCGACCGGAAGGGATGCTGCACGGTGAAGCGGGTGCGGAAGCAATGCACCGACGTAGAAGCTCTTGGCGGAGGCTACCGTCTTCGGATTATAAGACGAGTTAATTGCGTCGGAATGATGGACTCCTTGGTTAGCAAAACTGGCACATTTTTTCTCACTAGTAGGAGAAAATAGAGTGAGTTGCTTTCCTGAGGGTATCGATTGCAGGCGAGGTCCGTTGGTTTCTCTGTTAGGGGGTGTCGAAAATGAAGACACGGGAGCTTTGATATCGTTGTCGTTCTCCGAGTCATTGAAACTACTTTGGGTCAAGCTAGGATATTTCGGTTTACTTCCTAATTGTTTGTCTCTAAGTTCTCTCAACTGCATTTGATACTTGGCTTTTAGCCATCTCAGTTCTTGCCTAATCTCATTCTCATAATCATCCAATAAACCGGAATCTATCGAACTGTAGGCAGAAAGGGAGTTCCTTGTATTGGAATCACTTCGACTATCTACGCTAATAATTCTTTCCTCCTTTCCGAACATCGATTGCTCGGACATTTCATTTGCTTCCTCATTGCAGTGGATATCCTTTGGACCTGGAGGAATTTGTTCCGATCCTTCCCGTTGACCCCATATATCAGCATAATGGATACTATCCGATTGGCTAATGGCAGCCTCTGCACCTTCTGAAGCACATTGTTCGGGCCCTCCAACTTGGTACTTGATCTCTTCAAAACGGCCATGGACAGTGGTACAGCTGTGTTTCGAGCACTCGAGGACTTGCAGATTCTTGGTGCCTGCACTACTCGATGTAAAGTAATCCGATAGATGGCCATTTGAAGAACAATTTTGACAGAAACTCGAATAAATGCACTTTGAATTTTCTTCTATGGCCGGGCCCCTCTTCCACTCCGGTACCAAAGATGCAATCTCACCATCAATCATATCTGCTATTTTCGTGACATCTTGGTCAGTCATATCAAGCTCTGCAACCATTTCAGTGGCAACACTTAATGCTGTATCGGACTCGACATCGAATGGGAAGTAGATGTTTCGTATTCGACCTGCTTAAAGAAATAGATTTTGTAACACTAATACAACTAAACTTGGACTTTGAAAAATAACAAAAGAATCAAATGAAGTCTAACCTTCTTTATCTGCAATTCTGAGCCTCAAAAAGATGTCATCGTCTGCTCTCCTCTGGCCCTTGATTATAAGGTCAACATCTCCCGAATGACCATCTTCTTGCCTAGAAAAAAGATCGATTTCACTTGCTTCATAGTCGAGCGAGTTATAGCCAATATCACACTCGGGTCCATAACCGAGATAATTGGTGTATCCATTGATCAAAGAGCTGTTGTTACTAAAGTGAACATCATAAAGAGGTTGCCTCAAGAGGGGCCCTGCATCATAGTCGTCCCTTTGGTACTCTAATAATCTCAACTCGGATCCGTAATCTTCAATTTGAAGAAAAGGGTCTCTTAGAAGCTCCATGGCAGTATGCCGATGGGAAACGGTGGCTAAACATTTTTCGATGAACTCTCTAACCTCAGGATCCTTTACCTTGTATAGAGCTTCAGGCTTTTTCCCCTATATCAAACATAAAGCATGTCAAATCACTCTAAGACTAAGAACGGGAGATTTTACGAGTGTTACGGTTCGTACCGAAACAACTTTCTTATAAATCTGAGCAGGATGAGTGCATTCACTGTATGGATATTCGAAAGTGACCATCTCCAATATGCACATCCCGAAAGAATATATGTCAACTAGTTCATTGTATTCCTCTTCATACACCTCCGGAGCCATGAACTCCGGTGTTCCTGAGAGCATAGCGGAAGCACTCCAGTGTTCATACAAGGACCAAGTTAACAATTAAGCGTGAAAGAAAGGTTTGCTCGTTAACATACCGACACAACGAGCGGCGTGGGATTTACGGAGAATCGCAGCCAGGCCGAGGTCACCGATCTTGACCTCCCCTTGATTTCCATTAATAAAAATGTTGTCACACTTGAGGTCCCGGTGAATGACAGGGGGGTCATGGCTATGTAGATAGAGAAGCCCTCGCAAGATCTGTCGACACCAATGCTTCACGGCTCGGATGTTTACTCTTCTATGTTTTAGCCTGTACCTACCATCGGAAACATGAAAAATTAAGGACACCCTGAAATGAAAACCAGACAGAGAGACGAGAACAAGAACAGGGAACTTACTGTCTGAGAGTACCGGACGTGAACATTTCAGTGACGAAGTTGATGTTCCTGTTATCAGTATCAACCCAAGAAGTGTAGAATTTCATGATGTTTTCATGTTTCAAGGTCTTGAGGAGGTGGATTTCACAGTACAATCTCTCAAGATCCTCTGAACTTTGCAGCAAATCATGGAGCTTCACCTGGTTCCATGCTACTTCAATTCCTTCATACTCATCAAACGCCTTGTAGCTGAAAAAAATGGAATTTCAAAGAAACAAATACACAAACACGTACCAAGCACAAAATAAATCAAACTTTTTAGAAAAACAAGAGAGAAATTCTTACACTGTTTTTGAAGACCCTTTGCCCAGAATCTCATTATACTGCAAAAACGGTAGCAAATTTGTCACCACAGATCTAAGAAATCAATTCCCAGAAAATGGAAAATCAAAAAGTTCCCGGAAAAGGGTGTTCGTTATTTAGAATCTATAATTTTTACCCTTCCATATCTTCCGGTAGGATCAACTTCAACAAACTCTAAACAATCAGGTTCCAAGCCATGTTCAAAGCTCGTTTCTCCATTCATTTCTAGCTGTAAGAATCACAGAAAAGAAATGAAAAGGGAGGCAGAGAAAACTGAGGAAAAGGCAGAGAGAGAGAGAGAGAGAGAGAGCAATGGGGATATATTCAAAAGGACAAGAGCTGGGGTTAATTGCCAACTAATAACTACTGATGGAGAAACGAGGCAAAGATTTTCACAAGGCTTTGCCTTTCTTTCCCCTAATTATTACATACTAACTGACAAAACCGAACCTTTCCCTTTTTATGTTCGTCTTTCTATCTCATCACGAGCAGTAAAAAGTTGTATTGGCTTAATGGTTTTTCGAAACCCTCAAACTTTTGAAAAAATCAATATGACCACTGGAATTGAGGCCCTGTACTTTAAAAAAAAACGTGACCCTTGAACTTGAAAAAATAACCTAATATGATTCTCTGACGAACGATTTTTGTTATTAACTGTTACGATGATGAAATAGCACTTTACGATGCTGATGTAGCGGCCTACAGTATTGACATGCAGTCTTCGATGGTTGATGACGTGACAAATGTATTAGATTGATTTTTTTAAGTTTCGAGGGCCAAATTGATTTTTAAAAAGTTCAATGGCTTATTTATTTTTAAAACAAGTACAAATATTTTAAATTTAAAATATAAAAAAATTAAATATAAAAATATTATTAATTATTAATATTATTGATTAAATAAAAATAAGTTATATTTAATTTTAAATATTATTATTTAATTTAATTTACTATTTTATTTTCTATTGAAATTATAAAACTCAGTTTTTTCATTTTTGGTGGTGCTCGATACCATTGAAATTTTCTAAAAATAAAAATACTAACAAAAATTTGAAAAGTTTAAATAAAAATTATAAAATTATTAAAAACAATAAATGAACGCCAAACTCTGACCAAATTTCCAAACAAATAAGCTCACTTGTTTCAAATTAACACCAATTAAGTCCCAAATTTTTCATAACTTCTCGAATAAATCCCAATTTTCAAATTAGACTCTTACCAAATTTATCGAAACTCCTAACTTGAATTTCAAGACGTAATGACTCAGTTCTCATGTTATAGTGTAAATCTTTATGTCAGTACTATAAATTATCACTTTAATTCTGTAACGATCAATGATGATTTTTGTCGGTTAAAGGTTCATATTGATTAATTTTGTGACTTTAAAAATCTTAATTATGTGTAAAAAAAATTCCAAGGCCACATTATATCTTTTCAAGAGTTTAAGGGTCTCTAGAATTTTTAAGCTACATGCAATTAAAGGAAAGCGATAATCGCACTAAAGTCCCCAAAATATAATTCGAAATTAAAATTAGTACATTCCAACCATTTTAATTGCATTTCCCAAAGTTAATGGTGAGCAAAAATTGACAATAAAACGACTTGACATGTATATTGGGTTTTGACAGTTTTGGTAGAACTTAAGTGAGTTGATGTTTAGTTAATGAAATTCATAATCGAACCGGTAAAATTAACAAACTTTACTATATATATTATATGGTTATGATGTTAACTGTTGATTTTTTAGCGGATATTTTTTACATACACAAAAATTCGAACTCGAGACATTGCTTAAGCGATATCAAGTTGTTTACTACTTGAATCAACCCGTAATTCTTCTTCCTTTACTTCGAGTCTTCTTTTTTCTTCCATCTTAGGTAAGATTGAAATTAGATTTAAAATTTTTCAAAAAAACGTAACGTTAAAAAAGAATAATATCATAAAAAAATTATGAGATTTATTTTCTTAATATAGAGATTTAAATTGTTCATGTAGTAGGTGTACACATGTTTAAAATTTAGGGTGAAATATGTATGTAGTTATTCCGCTATTGTCTTATTTCTGTTTTGATCACCCATTTTTTGTTCTCAAAAGCATATCTAAAGTTATGTTTTGGTTATCTACCTTTAAAAAATAAACAGAGTTTGTGATGTGACAAATTTTTTTTATTTTTTTAATATTGATATGACACTAACTTATAGTGATACGTGAGTATCACCATCAATTTTTTAATGACATGAGATCAAAAAATAAGTTTAAGTAAGATTTTGAAGAAAACATAGTTAAATGATCAAAATGAAACTACATGAATAGTTGAGTGTCTAAATATATAGTTGACCCTAAAATTTAATATACTATTAAATATTCAAGTTAATAAATGATAGTCTAACAATCCACTAAGTGACTTAAGTGGTAAAAGAGAATGTTGTTATTCCTAGAGTTTTTGGATTCAAACAGTTGTATTTGTAGGTTGTGTGCGCCCTATTGATAACCTGTAAAAAGGTTGTATTTTGTGCATTTTTACTTAGGTTATTGTTTGTTTTAAAGCCCATGTCATTAGCATTTAGATTGAATTTAGGTCATATAGTTGCATTTGGTGATAAAGTCTTGTTGCGACATAAATTTATTGAAAACTAGTGCTGCTGAGGGAAAGGTCTTGCTTTTGTGGTGTTGTGCAAGCAATGGAAGCTTAAGGAGAAAACATGACTATTGAGGCATGTTGGAGAAATTGTTGTTGTAGCATTTTGGAGATGAAAAGCTAAAAGACTTGTCGCAACAAAAGATGAACAACAGACTCTGGAGCAGAAAAGACAAAATAGCAAAAATATCTTTGCTTAGCTGTCCAACCACATGTGACTCGCCACCCCTATTGCAAATTTGGGACCACCTGCCACAAATAACCGCCCATTCACGTGAGAAGGTGTTGAGTTAATCGATCGATGGAATCGGCCAAGAGGGGGTGAATTGGCAATTAAAATTTTGGTGGAAGCTTTTGCAGAAAATTGAAAGTAATTGCACAGCGATTTACAGTGGTTCGACTTTCTCAACAAAGTCTACGTCCACTACCTTAGCTATCCACACTAAGGATTTTCCAACAAATTCACTAATTTGTTCTTTCTTTTGAGGCCAAAGAGATAACCTTACAACTCCCTCAAGAATTATACCCAATTCTTGAGAACACTCTTTCTCAAAGAGAAGATTACAAATTTCGCAAACTTACAAGAAAACCTCAAAAGGTAAGATGTTTGCACAATTCTAGAACAAAGAAAGAACACTCAAGAATAAATATAATTGAGCACAATAAGTGTTCTTGAAAGAAAAATGAATACTGAATGAAAAATAGGCTTGAAATGCTCAAACTTGAGGTTTGATGCTTTCTCTTTGATTCTCTCTTGATTCTAGTTGCTTGATATTTCTTGTTATTGATAAATGGCTTCTAAGCTTGTTTAAATACACCTTGAATCACTTCTGAACTTTGGGGGATCATTAATGAAGTTATTGGAACCGTTTAAGTGTGAAAACAATTAATATTTCTTCTTGGAGCATGGGGGGAATTGGTACCCCTCATGGGGAATCGGTTCCCTAAGTGTAAAATTCAAATATTCGACCTTTGAACAGTGGGGGGGGGGAATCGATACCCCCTGGGGGGAATTGGTTCCCTCCGAGCATACTGGAATTTCTCGGAGCAAAACCATTCAGGGGGTAATTGATACCCCCTTGGGGGGGGAATCGGTTCCCTCTGGACAAACTGTAATTTTTGGCTTTGAAACGGTTCGAAATACTTTGTAAAATTGTTTTGAAATTATTTTAAGACTAAGACTTAATTTTACACTTTAGTAAGGATTTAAAATGAACTTTGAAATACTTTGAGTAATATTTTGATATTCGATTTAATATATCGAATATGCTTAGAAAAATCATTTTCAAAATTAAAATTCTTTTAATTTAATTTGTTATATCGAAACATCAAAATGTTTTCAACAGAAGGGTATCACCTAGGGTACAAAGGGAATTTTGGGCCCAAAACCCTAGAATATTCCCTCTATCAATACCTAAGTTGCCCTATATTTTAAGAGACTTTTGGAAAACTTTAGGAGGTGACCTAGAGAAAGGCGGTTGCTCATTTCCATATTCTTCTTCCTTGTTAATCCCCTTTTTGGGTGTCCTCCATAGCCGAGCTTCAAGGGAGGTAACAGCTAGACCTCGAGAGAGGCTAGCTTGCTAAGGCGGTGCATGGTGGTTGAGCTAAGTCATGGTAGCAACTCATGTTGTGAGTCTTCTTGTCCTTGTGCTTTATTTTCTATCTCATTTGAGCATGTATTAAACTTGCATATTCTTGGATGAACTTAAACACACCATGAACTTACTTATTTGGTGTTGGATTTGTGTTGGATGATTTTATTTTGTGTTAACGGATGAATGGATGTTTTTATGTTTTAAATGTTGTTTTGCTCACTGTATTTAACTTTATGCGTTGTAGCATTGTAAGAGCTTTTGAGAGATTGTTGTTTGCTATAGCATAATATGCTTATTCTTGTAAGAGCTTATGAGAGTTTGTCATTTTCTAAGTATAAATACCTATTATCGAGAGAGCTAAGTTAGAACTACGTGAGCAAGAGAGCCAAACTAGGATGGGAAGGTTCTTACCCGCTGTAGAGATAAGGAGAGTGTTTCATTCAACTAAAAAGGATAAAACTTAGTCTATAGGCTAGTGTTGCAATTCACCCTGAGAGGTATTGTCGTAGCATTAGTTTTATTAGGTTCCTTGCTTGAGAGAGTTTAGGAGCATTTTTCGCAAATCCTGTTGGACAACATTCTCATAGAAACAAAGATCATCCTTAGCATAGAATATTATTGCCATAGAAAATCTATATCATTTACCTCCATAGAAGCTTGATTGTGTGAGGTTTTCAGTATTATAACATTTTCCAAAGTTCAGATTATTTTTCTACTTTAGCATACTTTTGCACTTCACTTAATTTCTTCTCTCGACATACATTTACAAGTACATCAATCTTTCAACACAACAATTTCACTCATCCTCACTCCATTCTTGTCACAACATTCCATCATCCTTTATACATATCATCTGCCACATCTATACTTTCATTTGTTTATACCATTATACTTAGATTAGTTAGTTTTAGTTTTAATTCATGATAGATTTTATTTGATATAGCTAGCTTTTAAAATACCACCAATTCTTGTGGAGACGATACTCACTCACTATTGTATTACTGGCATCAATTGTGTATACTTAGATTTACGTGCCACAACACTATATATTTACACTAGA